TTAATGGCCTCAAAACATAAAAACATGTTCCTTGGTATGTGGTAACGACCAGGGCCAGAAAAGTTAAAATAAACAGAGCAGTATGCAGTGGCATAGACAGATGCTCCAGACAGAAGACTAACGCATACATCAAGGAAATTCTAGAGAGTTTTGTGAATACCAGACATGAAGCTGATAACATTTATTTTATTATAAAATATGGGATTTTTTGCCCACAATTCCAAGAAAAAATAACTGTCATAATGGCTTATATGGCGAAAATCACTATACCCTCACTACAGACTACGAGGTCAAACCCTGATAACAAATGTGGGGCAGGAAGTATACAAATCCCAGAAAGAAGGAGCAAGCCCCCTCTTCCACCAATTTGAATTGGGGGCTCAAGAACATAGGAGAGCATGGCTAGTTTCACTAGCAGTAAATGATATGGCAAGTAAGCAGAATTGTGAGGGAGAGGACATTAATGTCTCATTGTTTCCTTGTTCTTTCCCCTTTGTCTGTCTATATCCAGTTGATGACTCTTGTCTTAAACTTCGATTTTAAACGCTCCTGGTCAGGAACCGTCTTTTTGTCCCGTGTTTGCATAGCGCCTAGCACAATGGAGTTCTCAGGCATTACTGCCTTACAAATAATAAATAACAACATTATCCATGCTGAGAGGCCAGAGCTATATGCTGACTCTGTGCTGATTGTCCCTAGCAGACCCAGGCTGAGCCTCGGCTCTCTCACCGTCTAGGTCCCTCCTGAACACTCTGTGCTGCATGTAGAATCGTTACAAACCCCTGCTCAACCTGCAGGATGTTATCCTCCTATCACTATCTTGGGCAGAATCCCACTCCATTAAGTGAAACCCTGATCAGGAGGAGGGAATTTGTCATGGGAATGGGGGTCCAGGAAGCAGCAGCCTTCCTGGTTTCCTTCCTCCTTCCAAAACCCCAGCTCAGCAGCTGCATGGGTTTGCCTCAGGGCCCCGCAGCAGCCATGCTACTGTGGAGTAACTGTATCTTACCACAGGGCTTTCCTGCATAGGACTCGTCCTGGCCCTTATTTGGTCTCTCCCTCTCTCTCTCAAAACAACCATGCTTTGCTAATGAGACAACTTTCCCTAACTTGCTTGGTGGCGCACACATGATATCACATAGATTCCCCGGATACTGGAAGTTAACCGTTGATGTGGTTAATACTACTCCATAGTTTGTGCAGCTCCTAGCACAATGGGATCCTGGTCCATGACTGGGGCTTCTAGGCATTACCACAGTACAATAATAATGATAATAGATGCTGTCTCTGCTAATTGTATAATATTATATTAGGTTCTGCTTCTGCATCTAAGGCAGGACTCATGGGAAATATACCATACCATGGGTTTTTTAAGTGTGCTTATGTTGTAAAGGTTTGCCAAACAAAATAGTAAATAAACCCTTAAGAGTTGCCCTGTGTTCTTGCAACAGAAGATAACAATTGTTTGTTCACACACAAAGTCTACATTCTTCCCTGGCAGCGTTGCTGTATAGTAATTAACTCATGCCTCTTGATCCAGTCCTGGCCATGGATGATTTCTGACAGAAAGCATTTAGATATTAGTTCAATATTATCAACCATAACTTTCTGGGGTAAGTTTCCCCTTCCACATGGTTTAAAATTCTTGCCTTGTTCGCTTGAACTGGAACAGGAATGTGCAGTTGTTTCCTATCCGATTATTTTGTAGGGGGAATACTTACTACTCTGCAGCATTGAGAATCTGATACCTGCTGTTGTAATTAGCTCCACCCTCAACTGAATTTAATGAATCTGAGAAAAAAATTACAAAGTACCATAAAGCCACGAGAATCATAAAAAGTATAATAAAATTGAGAATAGCTATTAAGTTATAAATACAACCTATACATGCAACATCACTCAGATGGCAGAAACTAGCTATAAAATAAAGACACTTTAAACCTTCATTCTACAAGTGACTAAATCTCTTAATTCACAAGTCTCACTTTCCTTTATGATATCCAATCCTATTGTCTGTATCAAGAGTTTTATAACATAGAACTTCCTGTAGCAGCTAAAAATATACACATAGGACAAAGGAGTTCATTCATTCCTTTCATATCTTTTACAATCTCTCAGAAAATGGTTACCCAGGTCTCCACTTTGTTCTTACAAAATGTCTCACTTAACTGATTCCCTAAATACCGAGGAAGGGCAAAAACCACTCTCTGGAGTTATTTTATCACATGAGAATGGTACAGGGGGGAAAAGGAGTCAGCGCACGTTAAAAGAAAATTCTGGAGTTTTCAAATACATCAGACTTGAAACCCTATTGTCCTGCAATACACACAGAGCCCAATTCCGCTCTCAGTTATACCAGTGAAACTCCACTGAGGTCAACTGACACTGATGTAACACAGAGCAGAATTTGGGCCAGAGCATGCACACACCTAGTATATAAATACTGGGCAAGATTCTGATCCCACTTACATGTGTCAATGCAGAGTAACACCACTGACTTCTACAGAGTTAGTATTATTTAGTATTTATTATTATTATTAATTATTATTATTATTATTATTTGTATTACTATAGCTCCTAGAAGCCCTAGTCACAGACCAGGACAATTTGAAAAAAAAAATAAAAAAAGATAGTTGCTGGCCCAGAGAGCTTGCAATCAAAGTAATTCTGCTTTTACAACTATTGTAACAGAGATGAGAAAATGGCCCATTAGACACCTGTCACATTACACAACATTTCCATCTCATGAAACCAAGGTTTACATTACGTAGGGCCCAGTTCTGCCACACATACTCACAACAAGTAGCATCTTACTATGCAAGTAGTCCCTTTGAAATCAATGGGACTATTTGCATAGCAAGGTGCTACTCAATGTGATAAATGGTGGCAGAAACAGGTTCTGTATATTCACTTTATGTATTCCATGTTATCTTGAACGCAAATAGTACTTGGTTAACAAACGGCTGCCCAAACCTGCTGCATTCACTTTTGCAGGCTTTAAAAAAAATAATTTACAGAGCAGAACAATAATTATGTTGTGCAACAACAAAAATAAACGTTTACAATGCAAGTGTATTTCATTTTGATCACTATAACCTTAAAAGCAGATAATTACTTGTCAAGATTTCCAATCACTGTGAGATCACTTCATGCTTTTATTTACTTTAAAAGTCCTGCATATTATGAATATTCATTGCAATAATTTAAAAGCCCCACTCAGCCCATGATACATACTGCATCCGATGAAGTGAGCTGTAGCTCACGAAAGCTTATGCTCAAATAAATTGGTTAGTCTCTAAGGTGCCACAAGTACTCCTTTTCTTTTTGCGAATACAGACTAACACGGCTGCTACTCTGAAATCAGCCCATGATGTTAGCCCAATAAAAACAAATAAGTTAATGATAATATTTAATACGAGAATTTAATATTATTTCACCTACGTAGTGGCTGAAAGTTCAGCTTTCCCTTAAAATGTAGTCAATTTACTGAAAATAAGTAACCACTATAAAAAAATGCTGCGGATTATAAATCAGAAGCACATGCCTCTGTATGTTTGTTTTCTGTGCTTCTGCATTTCTGAAAGGATTTCTGCTGAATTTCTAATTTAATTTTTGGCTACAGTATTAGAGCAAGAAAAACTACATCATGACTCTTCTTGGAAATATTAAAAATATGTGATGGATAGTTTAGTGCAATTGTTTCATAAAAAGATGACTAGACAAAAACACGAATGCCCGGCAGATTAACAATGGAACTTGACCTGAAAAACCTTCTTATAATCCAACTGACATTAGAAAATACATTTACCAAAGAATGTATTCTAGCTTCTTTTTAACAAAACAAAACAAAATAAAATAACGTTTGCACCTGCTTTACCAAAACAAAAGCAAGCAAAAGATATGAAGGCAGCTTTACTAGCTTGTTGTTCAAAAGGTCCATAACATCTTGACTCATTGTGGCTTGTCTTATTAATGCTAGTTCACTAAAATACTGGATAACTCTGGTGAGTCACTATTTAAAATGGGCTCTCAAAGATACACAAAGAGAAGAGAAGGGAACAGCAATAATCAGAAAAATTTATGAGGATAATTTACATTAATTTTAATAGAGACCACACATTCCTGGTCATTGTTAAGTTTTAAAACAGTTTGTTAATATGTACATGAGCTGTTGACCATTTTCCAACAGGATTGCTTATACTTACACTTCATACTGTATCATTAGAATTTTAGAGATAGTATTAATTTTTTTTAAAAAGAGTAAAAATACAGAGACCATAATATTTGTGAAAGAGACATCCATCCACCTAAGTCACACAAAATGGCTATTTGACTTCAGCCCTGCCATAATTAAAGAACTTTTTCTGCTTGTATTGATTTCCATGAGTTTTGCCACTTATTATAATGGAGACAGGATTGGGTCCCTGATATATATCCATCATACTTTCCTTAATGTTTTGCAGCAAGCCTTTAGTGGTTTCTAACTTAACACATTTATGGCATTTAGACTTTCTTTGCTAGAAAAGATCAATTGGCCTTACTGGTAATTTTCCTTTCATGGATTCAACAAGATTTGGGTTTTTTCCCCCTCTATAATAAATATAAAATACATTAGGATGCAACTCAAGTACCGACTTTGGAAGTAACTAACAGTACACACATGTTTAAACAACTGAAAACAGGGGTGAGGGGAAGGGCTTGTATAATAAAAATGTAAACTACTAGCCTTTCTATTTTTTTCTTTCTTACACTAAATGTGTCTGACAGGAGGTAAGCAATGCCAAACGTAATCTGAAATTCATCAACACAAATGGCTGCCGTTCTTGAGTGGGCAGTAATCAGAGGCTGTGTGGCAGTAATTGGCTGCTACAATCTATCTCCTCTCTCACTCTGTAAACATTCCACAGCATTAGACAACAGCAGAGTTAATTTCAATACGCCTCTTGCTATCAAATGAAATTGGCAGGGTAAATAGGAACCACTGTTTATTTGCTACTTACCTCTGTCTTGTTCAGCTTAAATACTGAGTAAAAGCAAGTGCCATTAGGTCAGAAAGAAATTATACAGCCAAACATCCAGCTGCAAGTGAAAATGATATTAAAGATTAAAAGAGAGAATTAGAGAGAAACATATCAGTGTCATTTTATATATAGGTAAAAAATAATTAAACAAAATTTCAGTCAGAGACTTTCAGTTGTACTTGAATACTACAGAAATATTAATTTCCATATTTCCTAAAATTATATTTAATGTAATAAAATAATTTTAGATGGCAATGAGTTCTGAAATAGAAATGTATTAAGAAATGGTGAGTGATGTACTGTTTATCCATGTGAACTAATGAAGTCACAAACATCTAGCAATGAAGTGCTGGGGAAAAAATGTTATATGCATTTGATGTCTTTCTGTCTGAGAGGTATATAATAAGACAAAGGATTGAAATTGTTTCTACTTCAACAAGGAAATCAATCCAGCTATGACAATTTATACCAGCTGAGGATTTGTCCCTGTATCAAAGTTCTAACATTCCCCCAGACCAGACCTAAGCAAAGTTACGCGAGTGCTCTAAACTAATGAGAGGGATAAAAAGAGGGGAAAAAATAATGCATAGTATCTTTATTGTTTATGTAGCTTGCTGAAGGCAGCTTCTTCCATAGGGTTAATCTCTTCACTTACTTATTAAGAAACTATTGCACACCACCACACATGCCTTAGCCAATGAGGGGCTTATTTGGTGAATAAAAATATAATTCTAATTATGTTTTTCCTCCTGATTTTGTACACCTTTATTTTTGTAGTAAGGGAATTCATGTAAGACAAAGGGAGAACAGAACATTAGCTGGGATCTCCGACTACATTATCTATACCTGTCTATACATTATCTATACCTAAGATGTTTCTAAAAAAAAAAAATCAGTGAAATGAAAACAAAATGTACTGAAGAGCCCAATCCTACTCCTGTTGTGTCAATGGCAAAGTTCACATAGACCCCAAACCAAGGACAGAAAACAAATGCATGCAGGAAGCAAAGATGTATTTTTACATGTATATCTTTTCCAGAAACACACCCAGTGGCTACTCGGGAGAATCTTTAGAAAAATCTCTGAGAGGTTTATAACTGTACGCATCTGAAGGGTTCCTTTGAACTTCACACCAACAAATTAAGGATCTGGCAATTTATTGAGAGTGGTTTATTATTTTTATTATTAAACCCAGTAATGTTTCCAAGTATAAAGACACATGGAAAGGGAAAGGGGATGGTTTTTAAAAAGTTATTTCTAATTATTTTCTTTAATTAAAACAGTCTGGTTATTGCGGGGAGGGGAGGGACCAGTAGGCCAGATTCTCCCCTTGTATTATCCCACTGATGACCATAGACAGTGATGAATATGACCCTGCCTGTTTACCCTCAGAAGTTAAACTTAAATTTGAAAAGGCTTAGTCAGTGGAGGTCTAAAGCTACATGTGAGTGTTTGGGGAAAGGGGAAGGGCAGCTTGTCTCTGGTTTTAAACTATGGGGCCAAACAGATGAATTCAAAGATCCGAAGAAGATTATTTAAAGAGGAAAAGAAAACAATCCGGAAAGGCAGATCTTGTCAGCTGGGTAAATGACATATCTTTTGAGGTTGTCCTCTCCAGCTGTCTATATAAATAAAAAGGCTCCCCCCTTCTCTCCATTTTTTTTCTCCGCAGAGCAGACTGTGCTCATTGTAGCAGTAAATGGAGTTCTTTAAAAAGGTGTAAGGAAGCTTTTTGTATGATGGCTATGATGTTGATGGACACCATAGATCACGCTGAAATACAATGAAGTGCTAACTCTGGGCCTGATCCTGGTTCCCTGGCACACCAACTGGGAAATCTGAGTGCACATGGAGGACAGGCTTGGGTCCAAAATGTAAAAGTAGATGCTCTAGCCTGCATGTGTGACTCTGACAAGATAATAAGCCCAAATCACTACATTACACAAAAGATGCTCAATGCAATACTCACCATTCAGTGTACAGCCTGAACTTGAGTTGTGTGTCCACTATACATTCACAGTTACCTCCTCAACAATTAAAGAATTTTCTCTCTCAAATAATTGAATTATTCCTAATTTTAAAAGTAGCACAGGATTGTGCAGTAATGGACTGTCATTTTGAATGATGAAGTTACAATCCTGCAGACGAGGGGTTTTGTTGTTGTGGTTGTTGCTGTTTTTGGCTTTTATCAAGGGATGTTTCCTTAACAATTTATGAGAACCCCCTTCAGAAACACTCCAGGATGGTAGAGATCTAAGATAGATATCTAAGTGGGCAATTAGAGAGTTCACAATGAGATGTCTTTAGTGTGTCTGGAGCTTCAGCCAGGTCCTACTGACCTCAGTAGAAAAACTAAATAAAAGTTGGATCAGGCCCTTAGTGCAGAGCAAACATGAAATCCTTTCACATACACAAATAATATCATAGAATCATAGAACTGGAAGGGACCTTGAGAGGTCATCTAGTCCAGTCTCCTGCACTCTTGGCAGGACTAAGTATTATCTAGACCATCCCTGACAGATGTTTGTCTAACCTGCTCTTAAAAATCTCCAATGATGGAGATTCCACAACCACCCTAGGCAATTTATTCCAGTGCTTAACCACCCTGATAGTTAGGAATTTTTTCCTAATGTCCAACCTAAACCTCCCTTGCTGCAATTGAAGCCCATTGCTTCTTGTCCTATCCTCAGAGGTTAAGAAAAACAATTTTTCTTCCTCCTCCTTGTAACAACCTTTTACATACTTGAAAACTGTTATCATGTCCCCTCTCAGTCTTCTCTTTTCTAGACTAAACAAACCCAATTTTTTCAATATTCCCTCATAGGTAATGTTTTCTAGACCTTTAATCATTTTTGTTGGTCTTCTTTGGACTCTCTCCAATTTGTCCACATCCTTCCTGAAAAGTGGCACCCAGAACTGGACACAGTACTCCTAATCAGATCGGAGTAGAACGGAATTATTCCTAATTTTAAAAGTAGCAAAAGTAGACTTTAGCAAAGCTTTTGACACGGTCTCCCACAGTATTCTTGTCAGCAAGTTAAGGAAGTATGGGCTGGATGAATGCACTATAAGGTGGGTAGAAAGCTGGCTAGATTGTCGGGCTCAACGGGTAGTGATCAATGGCTCCATGTCTAGTTGGCAGCCGGTATCAAGTGGAGTGCCCCAAGGGTCGGTCCTGGGGCCGGTTTTGTTCAATATCTTCATAAATGATCTGGAGGATGGTGTGGATTGCACTCTCAGCAAATTTGCGGATGATACTAAACTGGGAGGAGTGGTAGATACGCTGGAGGGGAGGGATAGGATACAGAAGGACCTAGACAAATTGGAGGATTGGGCCAAAAGAAATCTGATGAGGTTCAATAAGGATAAGTGCAGGGTCCTGCACTTAGGACGGAAGAACCCAATGCACCGCTACAGACTAGGGACCGAATGGCTAGGCAGCAGTTCTGTGGAAAAGGACCTAGGGGTGACAGTGGACGAGAAGCTGGATATGAGTCAGCAGTGTGCCCTTGTTGCCAAGAAGGCCAATGGCATTTTGGGATGTATAAGTAGGGGCATAGCGAGCAGATCGAGGGACGTGATCGTTCCCCTCTATTCGACATTGGTGAGGCCTCATCTGGAGTACTGTGTCCAGTTTTGGGCCCCACACTACAAGAAGGATGTGGATAAATTGGAGAGAGTCCAGCGAAGGGCAACAAAAATGATTAGGGGTCTAGAACACATGACTTATGAGGAGAGGCTGAGGGAGCTGGGATTGTTTAGCCTGCAGAAGAGAAGAATGAGGGGGGATTTGATAGCTGCTTTCAACTACCTGAAAGGGGGTTCCAAAGAGGATGGCTCTAGACTGTTCTCAATGGTAGCAGATGACAGAACGAGGAGTAATGGTCTCAAGTTGCAGTGGGGGAGGTTTAGATTGGATATTAGGAAAAACTTTTTCACTAAGAGGGTGGTGAAACACTGGAATGCGTTACCTAGGGAGGTGGTAGAATCTCCTTCCTTAGAGGTTTTTAAGGTCAGGCTTGACAAAGCCCTGGCTGGGATGATTTAACTGGGAATTGGTCCTGCTTCGAGCAGGGGGTTGGACTAGATGACCTTCAGGGGTCCCTTCCAACCCTGATATTCTATGATTCTATGATTCTATGGAAGAATTACTTCTCGTGTCTTGCTTACAACACTGCTGCTAATACATTCCAGAATAATGTTTGCTTTTTTTGCAACAGTATTAGACTGTTGACTCATATTTAGTTTGTGGTCCACTATGACCCCCAGATCCCTTTCTGCAGTACTCCTTCCTAGGCAGTCATTTCCCATTTTGGATGTGTGCAACTGATTGTTCCTTCCTAAATGGAATACTTTGCATTTGTCCTTACTGAATTTCATCCTATTTACTTCAGACCATTTCTCCAGTTTGTCCAGATCATTTTGAATTTTGATCCTATCCTCCAAAGCACTTGCAATCTCTGCCAGCTTAGTATCATCCACACATTTTATAAGCAAAAAGAAAAGGAGTACTTGTGGCACCTTAGAGACTAACAAATTTATTTGAGCATGAGCTTTCATGAGCTACAGCTCACTTCATCGGATGCATTCAGTGGAAAATACAGTGGGGAGATTTATATACATAGAGAACATGAAACAATGGGTGTTACCATACACACTGTAACCAGAGTGATCACTTAAGATGAGCTATTACCAGCAGGAGAGCGGGCGAGGGGTGGGGTGGGACCTTTTGTAGTGATAATCAAGGTGGGCCATTTCCAGCAGTTGACAAGAATGTCTGAGGAACAGTGGGGGGTGGGGAAATAAACATGGGGAAATAGTTTTAATTGCGTAATGACCCATCCACTCCCAGTCTCTATTCAAGCCTAAGTTAATTGTATCCACTTTGCAAATTAATTCCAATTCAGCAGTCTCTCGTTGGAGTCTGTTTTTGAAGTTTTTTTTGTTAAAGAATTGCCACTTTTAGGTCTGTAATCGAGTGATCAGAGAGATTGAAGTGTTCTCCGACTGGTTTTTGAATGTTATAATTCTTGACGTCTGATTTATGTCCATTTATTC